CGTTTATTTTTCTACGTTATGGTTCCGACAGACACACACACACAGTCCTTTGTGTGCTTATTTGAAAACGTTTTTCCGACAACTAGTTTTCACACTACTCCACTATTTTAGAATGTTGTGTTGTTTAGAATATGTTCTTCAGTAGCTGTTAGTCGCTCAACTGCTCTACAAATACTCTGATTTTGGAACTCGAAGGTTCATTACAGTGTTCACATCAAGCTGCCATTAGATGCCATACTGGGTCAGCAGAATTCAGTCCAAAATCAAACAACCAATTCTATAAAGATATGTTCTAATGTTGTCCCCAATCTATGATCAGAACTTCAAGTACACTCATCTCTTCAGTTTTACTGATTAAAATCTTGTGCCCCATGTCACGTTTTATCTCCTAGTTATTTCTACCCTGAAGATGGATCCGATCTGTTCCTCCAACAGTAAGACTACACGGTCACAATCCTAAACACCACAGAACCTACTTCGATCACCCTAATGTTTGACAATCAGTACATAAAGCCGTTTAGCATATGAAAAGCATAAAATTAATTAAATTTGCTTCCCATATGTAGTAATAACGTGAGTTAAACACGCTTAAGTTGCGTTCTTTGTAAATTATGAATTATGCGTCATTTATCTCGTGTTAGTTTCCATCTGTACAAACCACCAGGTCGATCCCACCTCGCAAGTTTGTTCGTCCGCCATATTGGTATTACGTATTATAGGAAATTTAAAAGTACGATTTTATGGTAGTTCCTAACGACACAACTACTACTACTACTATGGCGTAACAGCCCAAAATCGAGCCCTAGCCTCCTCTATCTTCTTCCTCCAATCCTCTCTATCCAACGCTATCCTTCTCCAAGCTGCTCTTCCAAGGAGATTTCTGGAGTCAGTCGTCACTGCATCCAGCCATCTACCTTTAGGTCTTCCCACTGGCCTTCTCCCATATATTGTTCCTTCCAATATATTTTCCATACCAAATTTTATCCATATCTGTCCAGAGGTTCTTGAGTTGAATATGCGGACATATAATACCAGACCAGTCATCGTGCAAAGAATGCATAATAATGACAATGAACTATATATTCTTCGGGACCACGGACACTCGCCTGCTCGGAACAGGGTTGAATCGTGGAATTAAACCTCTCACAAGACCAAAGAAGATAAAGCATACTGGCATCCTATTGACGGTAAAGGATGGGACAGAAGTAGCAGTGGTAGTTGTCGTTGTAATAACAGTAGAGTTCTGGCAAAGATTCAAGTCTCAATATTACCACTGCACCTACCCTTTTCTCCTGTGTTCGGTATGCGAGAAGGGACGAGACCAGACTTGATTTATAAATCTTAAATACTACTAAAGGGTGGGAAAATTCAACGATGGATGACTTGCAGTGGTTACGAACAGCTAGCCCCTACATCAGACAGTGCACGGAGCCAAAATCACATGTTAGAAGGATCGTATCGTGACCCGTCCCTGCGTTCGTCTTGTTTAGAAGCCAGAGCCTTTAAAATAGTACCCAGGCAAACATGATTGGAAACAGAGATTTATGGACGTGGCAACGCTCAGCTTAAATGCGCTCATTATCCTTGCTATAAAGACTATTCCAAAATAACAGTGCGTCAAGCGGTTTGATTACTAACCAGTCATCAGGCTATTAGTGGTAGACTTTAGATACCGGCGTATACATTCATAAACTGGTATCCGAATACAGTTATAATTCGGTTCACGATATTCTTTTGTATGAATGGTTACATTAAAATTGTCAGTTCAAGTTTGAATTATTTTAAAGATGACGCTTTGAAGCGGCAAATCACCGCGTCATGTAGTGGAGGTAAAACTCCTTAAAGGACTCTACTCCCGAAGAATCAACCCTTCCCACCGAAGTGGTCGATGCTGTGGCCAGGAGAATGTCTAAATACAAACCAACACCTTTATATGTTACAATGGAACAGGCGCCATAATTACCCACAGCGAATATCTGCAATTAACATTACTTATAATATCGAGAAAAGGCAGGATAATATTAAGATAGATCTTGGGGTAAAGGAGAAACTTTATGATCATGATTGGTGGTGGATGGAACTGACTGGAGATCGTGTTCAGCCGTATTTATTAGTGGTTCTGCTACTATAAAGCTAGTAAGTCACAGTATGGTCCAATGGGGAGACTTTAACGCAACAACAACAAATCTCCTAAGTTTCAGTAAATGCTGGAGATGATCAGCTGGGCGACTGTTAGCTTCTCAAAAAGGAATGTGATTTGTAACTACAGTTTGTGGACGGGCAAAGGTTTGAGAACCACTGATGTGGAAACTCTAACAGCAACAAAAAAAAAACGCTACACGCTGTTGTATCGTCCGTAATTGTGAAACGGGCAGCCTTTCAGGCCGGCGACACGACCCACGTCAGATCGACCTACATCGTACTAGGAACAAGCCAGCAGCCCGCCGGTCAAGTTGGATTACACTGACAAGATCATTTACGCGATGTCAAACCACAACCACGGAAGACTCTGAGGTTTCTTTCGCCTCCCTCCAACAAAGTACCTCACAGTATGTTACGAACCTACAGCGAAACATTTATTTACTGAGGGACGTTCTTCGTCACTGCATTGAAGGTACAGTAGTTGCTTCATACCTATTTATTCAAATATGTCAGAAGACTGATTTCCCTCCAGGAAAATTGAGCATCAATTTTATTCGACTTCCAAACAAATCACCTTCTGGTCATTCGACGCTAAATAACCAATATAGTTGGTAAAGTATCGTTAAGTAGTCAATTTAAAACAATAAATAAGGAAGACAATAATAAAAAACTCCTCTCAGTATGAAGGCGAGCTAACTACATGGAACAGAGCCCTTCTTGAGAAACTGACATTATCTCAGCAAGTCAATAAATTCTCAGCGTTTATGGCGAACGGAAGTAGCACTCTCACTGGACGGATATGACGTAAAATGAGACGAACTATACCCAATATGCCGGAGCCCATTAGACGTGATGCAATGTACGTTTTCCTAATTGTCAGTAACGTCTGGCGAGAAGCAAAGTACAGTTTTTTCTTTGTACAATCTAGTAACACTGAATCTGTGCCACCGTTTCAGACAGTCAAAATCATTATTAACCACCATCGTCATTTTAGTCACGTTCCAGCCTAGTTTCTCAAATTGATAAACGTCTGACTGAACATCCATATCACGGCAACTTTCCCTAATAACGTCTTAAGTAACTGACAAGATTAAATAACATTTGTTTTGAATACCACGTCATTTACAGTCACCCCAAATGCGAATGTTTTAATTCCTTGGCAACATAACTACAAAGTACAAAGAATAAACAGTAGATTTCTCGATTAAAATTTTGATGAATTTTCATGCCACGTATATCACATGCTCCGGCCATGTTATTCACCTCGATTTTATCATCCTACTCATTAATGAATAGAAAATATAAATCTCTTCATTAGGAAATGTAATATTTGTATTGGTTACATTGGTTATTCAGCGTCGAATGACCAGAAAAAGGCGATTTATATTATTTCCTCTCTCTAACGTCCAGATGTTCTTCTCAGTACCCTGTCTTCAAACATTCTTCACGTTTCAAAACTAAAGACAACATCAGGTAAAATCAATTCGTCGAAGTTTTATATGTGGTTTTCTGGTGGTAAAGAGAATGGTAAAATATTCCAAACAGACTGTTAGCAAGCATTACACTAATTTAATAATCTCTTATCACCGTAAATCTCGTTTTAATTTGTAAATGTGTTTAATAACGCTTTAAATATAAAATTGTAATTTTCTGTAAATTACGTTATAGAATTTGTATAATTCCACTTATTTTTGAGTGTGTGAAATGCTTTGGTTATTCCTAATGTCTCGTGTCGTTTATTTTTCGGATATATATCACATTATACATTAATTCTAAAAAAAACACTGAAAAAATGGGGGGAAAATTACAGCCCATGGGACGAAACGTCCCCGACATAACACTCGGTTGTACAGCCAACGTATAACATGGCATCGAAAAAATATAGGCCTACATGAATAGTTAATGTTGGTAATTATTAACTTGGTTCGAGGACGTGCTTTTTTATCGATCGAACTAGAGAAAGTGATGTCCTTTGTGGCCCGCCTTATGTAAAGTCTGTCCTCCTCTGCCCTTAAATAATTCAAAGAAGATCGATTGGAAACTCAATGACGAAAATGACTCAGATTCCTTGATCGAATTAAAAAGCGAAAAATAATGTTTCAAACAACGACGGACGTCAGAGCTACAGAGTGTATAAAACTACAGAGTTTGTTATGCACATTTTACCAAGTATATGACGTGAACGCGTAATGGGGAGGTCGTCGGTGTTGAAGCGGATATTTCATCGCCGTGACGCATTTCAATTAAATTTGGCATCGGTTGTCTACACCGAATGAATTCTGTTTTGCGAGGTGTTTTATTCGGTCTAGTGTCATGTAAATTATGACAGAATACACAGGTCTGTAGTTGATCGGGGCTGGTACTTCTCAGAGTGCTGGAGCGCCGTCCTTGCACATTAAAATAAAATAAAACATGGACGGCAGAGTCAAAGGGCAATGAGGGGTGAGTTCCGACCTCTACATTAGCGTAGAAGATACGGAGTACCCTACAGAACTTCGAAAAATTGTTTCGTGACCGTCCGTCAGAATTTGTAGTACGTGGAAGAAGTGTTGGCCTCTCGTGAAATCTTCATTAAAGTAAACTTTAAGCAACAATGAGAACGGTCCCACATGTTAATTTCTTTTAACCTGGAACCTGCTTGTCAGATGTACAGACACATTTACTTCTAGTGCAAAACCCCTGGGAGAATTCTTAAATTCCTATTTATCGAAACAACTTACATCGTAACATCCGCTTTCGTTTGAGTTACATGCGTCGTCGTAAAATAAACCACCTTTACTATTCCACTGTACACAGGCCCACAACATAAAGCGTCTTTAAATAACTACAAAATGAACAATTAAGAAGCTACATCTTACCTTAATTTCATCGTCTGGAGATTCTTTCTTTATGTCCAGTACCCGTGAAGAATCTTCAGAAGTGGATGTCGCATTGGGAGGCGTGGATCGGCTCCCCATTACAACCCTCATCAGATTTTCTTGTTTCTCACACGCAACAATGACTAATGTCACCAAGTCACTAAAAGACTAGCTCTAGAGCGCTCCTCGGCCAGCGTCTGTTTCAGCTAATAATAACATTGACACATAACTACAGTCCCGGACAGGACACGGCCATAAAACAAACAGGATTCAGATCCAACAGCTTACATAAAGATTAAAGTAATGTAATTGTTTAATTTCAGTTGTACTGTGATAGATTTACAACTTCTATTACAATGTGACAGAGAGAACATCGCTTCTATTTTTATGCGTTTACTTAAGAAACTCAGCGCCACGAACTTCTCGACCGCTTCGCTTCCAACACGCGACTGCGTTCAAAATTGGAACACACAGCTGAGTGCCGGGGATATTAACGAACGTACACAAGTCGTCTCTGTGACGTATTATCGGAGCCCGCCAAAGTTGCTGCGCAACTGTGTGCGCACGTGTGAGTCGTCTGGTTCTTCTAGCTGGAAAAGAATGTTTTTAAGTAAACAATGAAACTCACAGTTACAGACTGGAGGACATTTTAGGCTAGAGAAGAGCAACACACTACCTCTAAAGTGTTTTAATAAAACGTTCATTCAGTATAACTCTCTTTGAACAATGCGGGCCATCTACAATAATTATCATGTGTCCCAACGTACCTATCAGCTGACGTTATGCAGGAGAGTGTATCTTTAGGAGCTCAGCTAGTTCACAAGAGTCCCCAAACTGCCCCGATCCAAAATCAGACGAATTCAATCTGCACTCCAATTGCTTTATTTATTATTTTTTTCAATTTTATTATTATTCTCCGTTTACTTCTATGTCTTCCAAGTAGCTACTTCCCTTCAAGCTTCCCAACCAAAATGTACGCATTTCTCATCTTCTATATTCGCGCTATATGACCCGCCAATCTCATAATTCTTGATCTGATCGTCCTAATAATATGCGCTAAGTACAAACCATGGCAACGCCTCATTTTACAATTGTATTCTCCCTCCTGTCACTTCACCCCTCATAGGTCTCCACATATTCTCCTCAGCACCCTCTTCTCAAACAGGGTTTCGATCTGTGGCCTTCCCTTAACGTGAAGACCAAGGTTTACATTTGTAAAATCAGGTTAAAATTGTGGTTTGTGTTATTTTAATTTTTACCTTTTTGATAGCAGACGCCAAGACAAAATATTATATACTGCGAGCATTCCCTGAATTCAGTCTGCTCCTGACTTCGTCGTTGATGCAATTTTGATTGGTTACCAATAGTCACATTTATCTGTTCATATTCACATCTAGAAAACTAACGTTAGGTTGGCAACCCATGTATTTGAAATAGGGAGAGGTAAAAATTGACTGACACTTGAGAAGTGTTTACTGCAGTTTGCACCTTTAAAACGCCGAGCATTTTCTGCCACATTGCACGGTGTAATATTCCAGAAGAAAGTCATCTTCAGATTTTTAAAATCACTTGTTTTTTTTCTTGTGCGATATGCCGGTGCTGATATAGTAGTTAACGTTGTTACCGACTGGACATCATATCCTTCTTGCAGCAATGTTACGGCAGATTTGGATAGATGGCAGCACAATATATACGTGACGTCATAAACCATGTTCGCTGCCAACGTTTAACATTGAATTGCTGATCTGTGTGTTGATATTAGGTGTGGTTGGTACCATCATTTGTCTTCTTCAACGAGGACCTTGACACTTTCTTTTCAATCTGTCGTCATGCGTCTTCTCTTTCCGCAATCCCGGGTAGTGCCACGGATGTTCTACCAGTCGCATTCGGATCTTACTCATCGATCTGCAATGTAATCGCCAAGCTAGGTATGTACGCCCTTGGTTTAGCACTCGGAGACAACGTAATTTCTTCTTCGCCTTGTAACATTTCTGTTTATATAATTCTGAGATACTGTTTGCGAAGTATAGTATTCTTCTGGCCTGTGCTCTTGTCAAGTTAACTTGCGTGTAGTTTTGGCGTTATTTCAGCATGTTACTATCTCCTTGGAGCCTAGTCCTTCCTGAGAAGCCAACAAGCACTCAGCCAATAAGAAATTCCCAACGTTTCATGCAACCTAAAGGTTCATTACCGTATTCACAACAGCCTGCCACTGGTCCCAATCCTGAGCCAGATGAATTTTAGTCCATACCACCCCATCAACTAGCCACGGTGGTCTAGCGGTTAGAACGCTGGCTTTGTAATCCTGGGGTCTCGGATTCGATTCCCGGCGGTGCCCGAATTTATAGCTTGTGTTGGGCAAGGCCGTGGTCTAGGCAACACGGAGTTTTCCTCCGTGGCATCCCAACAATTACTCCATTCACACACAGAAGAAGGCAATGGCAAACCACTTCTGGATCATCTGCCAAGAACGTATATGAACAGGTCCCAGTCCGAGAAAAGGATGGAAGGATCCTGTTCATATGGACCTGTCGTCAGACAGAACACTAAATAAATAAAATAAATAAACCACCCCATCATATTTCTCCAAGACCCATTTTATTAACTTCCCTCCTGCGTCGAGGTCTTCCAAGTGGTTTCTTTCCTTCTGGTTTGCCCACCAAAACCCTGTATGCATTCCTCTTCTCTCCCATGAAGGCTACATGCACTGCCCACCTCATAATGTGACTTTCTCGAGCCTTCTGTGCATGAAAGTTTTCTAAATACATAATTCGTTTTTTATTATCTAGTAAATTCTTAATGGGGCACAAATGATGAGTCCACATCTGAATGTTCCCATACATTGAGCATTGTGTTTTGGTTTGTGTTATGCCTTGAACTGTTATTTGATATATTAGTTGGTTATATCATAGAAAAGGTAATGTGGGCACTCACACACTATTCTTATATTCGCTTTTATGCACTTTGTCCAGACATGCTTTTCATTTTATTTTGTTTGGACTATACTGTCTAGCTGATATTATGTACGTTTCGTCATCTAATATAAATCCTTTTGATAAACAGAACTGATTTACTAATTAGATTATGAATTATTTCCCTGGCCTGCCCCATTAGTAGCAAAGATCTTCTTCTTCTATGGCTCTCCGGTCCGTATTCAGTCCATGGCCTCCTCAGTTCTCCTCTTCCATTCGGTCCGTCTGTCCGAGGCTTTGATTGAGGTTTCGAAACATCTTCCTTGTTACGGTGCGAGGTTGTTAGCCTTGCGACCAACCCCCAACCTGGAGGACCAGGGTAAAGTAAAGTAAAGCTGTCCCACTATATGCCATGTAGGCGCTTGGGGGGAGTGGAGGTATAGCGCCTACTCATTCTTGACCTCGGCAGAGTACCTGTCTTTTAGTCTGACCTCTCCCTAGGGAGGCCCCACCAGTAGCTCTTGGGGTCACTGAGGTACTCAAGCCCCACCACCACGACAAGGTGCAGGTACCATTAAGTGAGGCCTTTTCCCATCTGCTTGTGATTAATGAGTGAAGAGCTACAGCTACCCCATCTCCTCCATATTTAAAAAGTTCACCCCGTAGCCTGTCCATTCCTGGAGCTTTATTATTCCTTGTAAATTTCATTGCATCCCTCACCTCTTTCACTGTCGGTGGATCAGCCAGCCCCTTAGGGTCAGCCTCATTCCACTGGGGTGTCCTCTTCTACTTCCCCATTGATTCCGTTCAATAATTCCTGGAAATACTCAGCCCATCTCTCTTTTATGCCATCCCTATCAGCAATAAGCTTTCCATCTGCATGCCTGTGCATATCTGTTTTAGGTTTGAAACCTTCTCTTTGAAATTTAATATCCTTAAAAGCCATATATTTATTCTGAGCTTGAAACTCCTCATTTATCCTAATAAGGTGTTTGTTTAGGGCTTTTCCTTTCTTCTTCCTAAGTAATCTATCCGCTATTCTTCCTTTTGTTTCATATTCCATTTTCTTAGTACAGGTAGGTCTGCTTAAATACGAGGGTCGCTCATTAAGTAATGCCCCACATTCTTTTCCTCAGAATATATTTATTCAAGATGGCTCAAATTTAGTGACAATATAAATCAATGTTTCCCTTACACATACTATTTTTCCACATAGTCCCCATCAACTTGTACGGCTTTACGCCATCGTGGAACAAGTGCGTGC